ATTAACAGATAAATTTTTATACAGGGTCTCATTTAAATAAGTGCAAGTGTTCGAAGAGGTGGTAGATTATTATCTATCGTCTGTATCTCGGAAACTATTAGCCGTAGAGCGTAGAGCTAGCAGAAAAAATATTTATAACTAACAAGGCCCTGTAGGCCAATATCGGTTATTATTAAATCTACGGTAATCAACAAAAAATGGATCGTTTACTTATTCCAAAAGCTTCATATTTGCTTTATATGAGTTTTGCTATAAAACGCAAGGTTGTAGTTTCAAAAAAGGCAAAAAATGTGCAGTTTTTAGATGAAAAATCAACATTTTCAATCCCTAGGAAAATATTAACTTTCTGAAAAAATGTTCTATAACATTTTTTCCAACAAACGAGGGCTCGTTTAAAAGAGCGTTTCTTACTCTATTCAGGGTGCTACAAATTCGAGGTGCGAGCATTGGTATCTCGGAAACCGTAATAGATACGAAGATGGTTAAATTGGGGCAAAGTTGCGCCTTGGGATGTTCACCAAGATGCTATCAAAAAAGTTTTTAAAATTTCAAGGATCGCTGAGTTTTTTGGAAAAAACGAATTTTTTTGAAAATCAATTTTATTTTTTCCCGTCGTTACTTTTTAGAAAATCAAAAAACTAATTACATATTCTCATAGCCACTTTATTAGGGCTATCTGACAGTATTTTTAGATTTTCAAATTAGCTGATAATTTGTGAGATACACAGGCCGACTTCATTTTTTTAAATACGGACCTGCATTTTTTTTCAGTGTTTGAAAAAACTCGGTCTCCTGAGTAGAACGATATGCCACACTTTATACTTTTTTTTGTTTTGGATACCTTAACAACAACAAAACTATTTATAAAGGTATTAGCAAAAATCTAATAAATACAGAAAAATAAGCCTTTAACCACTTTTATAATATGGTATCAGTGGCCCTCTTGATTATTACCAAATCATTCTAATAAAATAAAAAGTAGAAACGATTAATTTATTCCAATATCGATAATACAGAATACCATAATGCCAGATGTATTAATATCTAATAATCAAGATGCCAATGACTCAGTGACGTCATGGTACACTTTTCGAAAAAAATTACTTTTGAAGTAATAGTTTAAACGTCAAAGTGTTATTTAATCAACACTTTGATAATCTCAGCAGCATTTTTCATAACTTGATGGTTTTTTAAAAATGCCCTAGTTAAAATACTTACACTTATTTAAAACACACCCTGTATAAAAGGATAAATACATTTATATTTGTCAAGTCTCACAAAATTTATCAACATTTAAACAAACTTATTGTGTTTATGTCCGAAATACAAATATTTTAATTCTAACTTATTTTGTATTTTCTTTGTTTTTTTTTTTCATAATTTTTATAGACAAAACATTTAGTATTTATTTCTCTTAAAAATAAAAAATAAATAAAAAAGTAGAATGGTTTTTGTTTCAAGTTTTATACGATACGATCGAAAAAAAACGGCGTCAAATACGGCTGGGAATGAAAATCGATGATAATTTTGACGAGGTCAAGCCCGACTGCCAGTTGACCTTAAGGAGGTTGTAATTTTTTTTTGTATTGAGTAAAAATTATTTTTGTCCACGACCACTTAATAATAAATCAATATTCTACTTCCTAGCTGAAGGAATATGGTGCCCATTTTGTAATGGAGTGAAATATAACAGCTGATAACAGTGAATTATGATAAATTACACTTTGCATTTACTTAACATTTGTTGCTATGCCAACGTGATACTCACACTCACAACATTTGACGTTTTTCTTATCTTTTCTTTTTATTAATTTTGACGTTTAAAATTGTCAAGTCTGTCAAATGTTAAGTAGGTAGTGATTATTAAGTGGCATATCAAGAACTCGTTTAAAATCAAAAAATGAATTATGAGAGTGATAATGAGCCCTGTACACCACCAGAGATAGCAGAGGCGGCCAAATTAACAAGTCTTGGATTGCTACCACAAAAGGATCATTACATGTCTGCCTATAAAAACTTTCTAGACTGGAACTAAAAAATGTTGGTACGATATTTTCATGCAAAGAACTTAAATAATATCAATGAAATTCAAATACATATATAACTTTAAATAAAACGTAAATTACCAACTTTAGTTACACAAAACAACAAAAAGTCAGATGCTGGTACTTCAATTTATCGTTCTCCAACAAGTGTACTCAACTAAAGTTGGTAGAAGTATGTTTTATTGCCAAACAACTTGAAGCAGCAACAATAAAATCAAATACATATATAACGATAAATAAAACACAAATTACCAACTTTAGCTACACAAAACAACAAAAAGTCAGCTGCCGGTGGTACGATCTATCATTTTTCAACAAATTTATTTTACTAAAGGTGGTAGAAAAAAAGTACTAATATACAGGTATGTCGTAAAACACATCTAATAATAAACTTCCCAAATATTTGAAAATAGAATAGTTCCGAGATGACTGCGATTCTCGATGCATAGCAGCTGATGATATTGACGTTTTTATTATCTTTTAGGTAATTTTGACTTATATATATATATATCTTTAGTAAATTTTAAGTAGGTAGTGAAATTTTCCCCTAAAACATGAATACAATAATTAATAGTGAGATTAACATTAAAAATACAAATTCAAACACTCCTCATAATTATTATAATGGCCGTGGACAAAGTATAGTATTCAACTCGCAATTTATAGCCATTATTCACGCAGGGTGAATAATGCGTGAATAATGGCTAGCATAAATTGCTCGTTCAATAATATACTATTAAATGGTTACATGACTGAATAGCCCCCGCAGCTCAGGCCGTTAAACTAAGGCCGTTAAGTACTATTAAATGGTATAGTTTAGATTAGGTTAGGTTGTCGAAGGGGCCAAAACTATCATCGATTTTCATTCCACAGACTTGTTTGATGCAAATTTTTCTTCGATCATACGGTATGTGCCTTTGAGATTAAATAAATTTCTAGCAATAAAACATTAGATTTAATTAATTTTGTGTTATCAGTAGTTTAAAAAAATCTAAAGGAGCAAATTAAAAAATTCATCATTATTTACATTCTCACATTGCCAAGAAAATGTTTTGATTTGCTATTTTTAAGAAAATTAATTTAAAAAAAGTAACACAGTAACAGTAAACGGAGTAGACAAAATGGAAGACAAAAGTTTTACAGAGTATAATATAAATTCCTTTGATGAAGTGAGGTTCCTTTATATAGTTACATGCCTCACAGTTATCCAAAAATAAGGATATTATATCTTCTGGATAACTTGAGAAACAATTATTAATAAACAATTAAAATAAATTATTAAAAATATCAAAAATAACATTCAGTCAAGTTCTCCAAACATAATAACTATTCCTGAAAAAATCAATCAACAAAAATAGAATATAGAAACTAGATTTTTCATAGAATACATAGAATTTACCATTTTTCACATTGAATAAAACATAAACAAATAAACAACATCTTTTAGAAATATCTTAGGATCAAACAACATCATCAACAACCTTAAGAGTACTAGTTTTTTAAACTTAAAACGAATAAATTCAATACCTTAAGTAGACACTACAATATACTGATAATAAACATAGTTTATACAAAAGACAGGTATTAGTTGACACCTTATCTGATAAAAGCTTATTTATTTATTTACTCAAGTAGATATTTATAAATCTGTATGCGCTAAGAAGAGTTAAGAACCGATTAAGTACGATTTCCCTGAATATGCAACCAGTAAAACACCAAGTTGCAATAAGGATTAGGCGTATTGTTGGTTGCATAAGCTGTGGCGTATCGTTGTTAATCGAGGGTTATGTATTGTAAATCGCGGCGAATGGATAGTGTAGGTCCCAATATGGGACAAGCTCGTGTGAAATAACATAAATAATGTAAAAATAATACTTATTTGTACAAGTTTCGAATATAAAAAGGTGTAGCGGCAAATGTGGTGGAAGGCATGGTCCCTAAGGTTCACCTTATTACAAGCATTAGATTTTTTAGTGGAAACCTTTACTTGGTTTTTGAATTTCCAGCGTTTTTATACTGTTTAAATAATTCTTAGATCATATAAACTCACTGTTATACGTAGGTATCTATTTTTTATAACAGATTCTATAAAGATAGACTAGCCATATATAGATCATACCAAATAAACTTTTAGTTACGTCATCGAGGGCGCGATTTTTAAATTTATTGTTACCAGCCATGGACATGTTCGGCGCCGGGCTGACTAACTGGAATTTAAATTTCTCGCTGGGGATTCAGGTAAAAAATGTCAAGTTGCCACATTTATTGTTTGTTTCCTGACATTTTGATTTGTTTTGACACTTTAGTTTTGCCTTACGAGTTTTTGGTTTAAATAAATTGTGTTGTGATATTTTAAGCTTAAACATTTTTACTAGCAGACCTTGCAGTCGAAAATTGCTTTTTAAAACCGCTTCAAAAAAAGCTTTTTAAAACCGCTTATAGTGCGAAGTGTACAAGATGCCGAAGCAGCTTAACAGCCGTTGCAAATAACTCATCACAGCCTTAGTAGAACGATTTGAATGGAAAAGCGGTAATAAGGGCCCTCTATGTATCTTTAGTGCTGTTAAGGAGGTGAGTTTTGTTGATGTAAATAATAAGCAGCTTAACAGCCGTTGCAAATAACTCATCACAGCCTTAGTAGAACGATTTGAATGGAAAAGCGGTAATAAGGGCCCTCTATGTATCTTTAGTGCTGTTAAGGAGGTGAGTTTTGTTGATGTAAATAATAACTGTTTATATATTTATAGTTAATTCACATTAAGTAGTTGATCTACATTATCTCATGGTTTAGTCTACCTTTATAGTCTATCTTTATAAAAATAGGCACTCTTATAACCGGTATGAATGAATAATGAAAAGAGAACATCTTTGTTTATGTTTATATAATCTAGAAGTACTATTTGAGAAAAAAATAGAAAACAAGTAGTTCTATTTTATGTAATTTGTTAACAAATATAAAACGTCAATCATACACTCTTCAGTTATGTAACAGAACAGAAAAGGACATAGATACAAACATAATTTCTCTGTCCTGTTCATAACTCTGAAAAATACGCTATATAACAAAAATAAATAATAATACTGATTGTTTATAAAAATAAAACAAAAAAGACGCGTTCTCTAAGCAGGATTATATAAAATACTTTCCAGTTACTAAACACAGTCAACGAAAAAAAGAGGCAAAAAGATCGCAGAACATTGGCAGGTACATAGAGCAAAAGTTTCGAAGTTAAAGAACTTCCTCGTCATCACCGGACTTCCGGCCTACCGCCGGAAGAACCGGAAGAACCCTTTCTTCTTTTCGGGAGGCGGCGCCATCAGCATAGGTACTTGGTTCTTGTGGGTGATACGTATCTGTAACAGAGAGAAGAGGGTTCCAGAAAAACAACTAAACAATTTAAATGAAAAATAAAAAAGGCTTTTTCAAAAAATATGTGTCATTTCTCGTGGGTAGATTTCTCACGTAAAAATAAGATTTGTTTTTTATACCAACACACGTTGATTCGGCCCAAGAACGGTAAACTAATAGGATTGTTCATCCTTATAAGACGTACGTTCGCCTCTTCCCGCGCTTTAGCTGACAGTTGTGACGACATTGTAGTCCTTGTCATGATTAGTGTGTATTATTAGTTGCCTATGGTAAAGCAAAATATGGAAGTACTCTAAAAAGAATGCCTGCAAAAGGTGATGCCGAGTATTTAATACGATTTATGTCGCATTATAGTAATTTTTACACCCAAAATTTCATTCGAAACGCTATAAGTACTTGGAAGAAAATTATACTAAATCAAGAAAATATTAAGATTTTATCACCCTGTAGCTACGAAACAAAGCAGAATCGGTCCTATGTTGATATGAAAAATAAATCTTATTTTTACGTGAATATCTTCCCATTAGAGATGGCACATGTTTTTTAAAACACCTTGTATAATAGATAGTTATTATTTACCGTGGTAGGAGGTTGCATCCAAGGCTCACCATCGATCTGCATTGGAAATGTTTTCTTCGTTTTGATGGTGACTGAAGAGCATTGGGCTAGTCTCCTACCGCTGGCGGTGATGCCTATCCTGACTTGACCCATGTGCAGGCAGTTGTCCAAGCCTATCACCTCGATAAGACCATCTCCTATATCTGAAATGGAGAGAAATTTTTTTATCAAAGCCACCCAATGATATTGCCATCTAGGGTAATAACTTCTGACATAAACATAAGAGTCTGTAACCCCTAGATCATATATACTTCGGTGGATACATCAACGCCATAAGTTTAGCAGTAAAAAATATGTCTCCAACATCACGACATGCCATTTTCAAACGTTCTTTATTGCACTTATGAAACGTTCAATAGGTTTGTCCTTTCCGAGGACCTTACTCTACGCATGCGCATTGAAAGTTGCAGGTATTTCCAAAATAATCACAATTTTATAGGGTTTAGAAAGTACATAATCATATTGTTATATTCGTATGGCATAATCTTATTTCCATTGTGTAACGATGCTTGTTTTTTGAGTTTTTTTATTTTAAAAATTGTATTAATTACACTTTTATCGACCGCTTTTATATAGCCAAGGATGCAAGTGTGTTCAGTGAGAAGTTAATTTTAAGTTTGTGCAATTATATTTCTATTTTTTTTTTCGTTGCACTTTCTAAATACTTGTTAAAACGACTAGGAAGTGTTTGGTATGTGGAAGTTCTAATATAAAGGTCCCCGAATTATCTTTTCATAGGCAAGTAAAGTATTCAGTTGTTCTTTTATTTATATTAACCCACATGCATACTTTCTGGTTAGATTTCTTAAGAATATTGATATTCGTACGGAGTGGTTGAATGTATTTTTAATATAATTTAATTTTTATGACAGTAAACATTCAATTTATTGTTCAAATATATGCATTTTACAAATTAAATTTTTAAAATTAATGTTCAAATTTGGTGCGTGGACGATAGGTCCTCGACAAGGATAGATGGAGTAGCACTGCGTTTGCAACAAAAAAGAAGATAAATGGAAGTCGTTGATATGTTTGCGACACTTTCCATAGTGATTTACTTAACCACGTAAGTATATATGATCTAGGCTGTAACCCTACCTTGAACTGCCACACTCAAATCCACCGAATTGAAGCTACTCGTACTAATATCCTTCTCCCTGCCTTTCCTTCTGTTTCTTCTGGACCCAGACAAGTGTTCCCCCCACAAATTCGACCCCCCGTGCGTGTAGGGGATGTTCAAGAACGTGATGCCCTGCAGAGGGAGGCCGTTGGCCAGGTCCAAGCCCACACCGTCGCATTCTATCTCGATGGACTCGTGCAGGTTCTTGCAGGAGGCAAAAAGGGTTTCCGTTGTGGCGAATTCAACGTACCACAGTTTGTTCTTCATGCGGCTGTTGAAACGGTCGGGGTTCTTGAGCCGCTCGATGTGGAACTTGTTGCAGATGGCAGCGTCCTGTGGGAGAAGAATAAAAGAGTAGTATTATTAGACTGAACGTACACAGAAAGAGCACAATAGTTTTTGACTAAAACTGTTCACTAATGCAAACTGATCAGTCGCGAGGTTTGGCCTCGTTTAGTTGCAGTTAATGGTCAACGAATCAACAATATCAGATACGCTATGACGATGCAGTAGTAATGACAGACAAAGTGAAGATTTGCAGAACCTACTTCAAAGAATAAATGTATCTTGCAAACATATGGACTGAATATGCATTTGAAGAAAACAAAATTCAGGATTATTACAAAAGACCAAAATGTAAATACTTCAATAGACAGCACGCCAATAGAAAAAGTCCAACACTACAAATACTTGGGCACAATAACAAATGAAACTGCCGAGCAATTGCAAGAAATAAAGTCCAAGATAGAGATAGGCTAAAGAAATTTCTTTGCAGTAGAGATATAAACTTAGATTTAAAAATAAGGATGATCCGATGTTACGTGTTTTCGACCTTATTGTATGGTGCTGAAGCGTGGACCGTTAAAACAGCCGAAATTAACAAAACTGGTCGCTTTCGAAAGGTGGTGTTATGTAACGGTTTTTTTGGTCGATAAAGTTGCAAATATCGACGTGTTACGCCGTATGAACCAGGAAGAAGAAATAAATAAAATCCTTAGGAGGAAAAAATTAGAATATTTTGCACATGTTATAAGAGGTCCTAAATACCAGTTGCCCTAGAATATTATGGAAGGAAAAACCAGACAAAATATAAGGTTTTTACAAAAGACAAAAATGTGTTTGACTGAAACAATTTTGCTCTTTCTGTGTGCATCGAGCTTTAGACTAAGACTGGATAATAATATATACAGGTTGTCACATTTTCGTGTTTTATACGTCATTTCTCGTTTATGAGTTGAGATACAAATATGGGGTTTTCACATCACTGTACTACTTTGTTATGAAGCTAGAGATGCTACACACAAATTTGTCCTAGCCCTTTTAGTTCCTGAAATACAGGGCTAATTTGAAAATGTTGCCTTTTTTTAACCCCATCGTATCCCCCGTGTCCCGTAGAGTTTTTTACGTAGAATTCAGTGGCGTAACTATTTTTTCGATGGGAACTGTCGTTCAAGAAATGTGACTAAAACTTTTGTTTTTACGAAAATGGGACACACTGTACTTACTAATATTCTGTACTTACCACGCCAATTGAAAAATAATTATTAATAACGTTGTACGGTATTCTTGTGTCCGCTATTTTTACCGTAGGATCAGGCTGGGCCGAATCAAATAGCTCTATAGACCACCTAAAAGAAGAACCAAATTTTTAAAAAAATTATATTTTTAATATTTTGAATTTGTTTCTATTACAGGCAAAAAACTCAGAAGTAGAGTTCCTAGTTCCAAATAAAGACTAAAACGAAATACAGTGTGTCTCTTAAATAAGTACAAGTATTTTAATTGGTAGGTAGTAGAAGCACGCCTATGGGTTTTTTGTTGCCAAAGAAAAATTTAAAAAATTAAACTTTTTCTTGACAGTTTTGAAAAACTATTTAGTGCCGCAGGTTAAATCTCCTGAAATTTCTTGACGGTATATCGGTGCCTTGCCATGTTGCCACTTCGTACATTACCCACATTCTGTTTACTTGTGTGTTTATAAATTCACAGTAACTTTAATTTTCTAGACAATAATTACCAAAAATTAATTTTAATTATATCAGTGGCATTACTAAAAATACATTTTACTGTTATTTTCAACTAAATTGAAAGAATAAATCTTAATAATTATTGCAGAGTTTGTTATATCGTCATATTATGAAGCATTTTCAATGAAATGTATACTTTCTTGACCATGTGGCAACACAGGTCCAGCTAATTACCGGTGTACACCGGCGGTTATCAAAATGTTACCTTCAATTATTAAAATTAAATTTATTTTAAAAATAATAAAGAAAAAAATACATGTAAATACTGGCACTTATTAACGAGACATCCTGTATAATATTACCTGTCCATCATTACAGTCGACGCCCTGGCGATCTTGTGCAGCACTTTATGAATGGACTCCCCCTCGTAACCCCCTCCCCACCTCAAACACCTTGCCAGATCGTTTCCTGTACCTAGGGGAATCACAGCTACTCCAGGTTGACACTCCAACTCCACCTTGTCTGGAAAATTAATTCAAAATCGATTATTCTTTGAGAAAAAGAGTAAAAAAGGGAAATTGTGTATTTACCCATGGATTCTAGAACCCATCCCACTGTACCATCACCTCCACAACAAACCACTTTAAAATTAGGAACATCTTTGAACATGTTCAAGCCTTGCATTGGACCGCCTTGGCTAGAACCTGCAAACAACAGAAAAAAAAACAATGTAAATATAGTGTCTTGATTACCGGCTCAAGACACTATATTAGCTTCATTCAGAACCTCGCAATGGGCTCTTTCACTATATTTTGGAATTAGCATAATTGAATAAATCAATTAATTCTAGAATTTTCTGCTATCTCACTTTCGAAAAATTTGAAGTCGTTCTTAAGAAAATAAATAAAAACAAAAAAGCCCAGAATAAAAATCCGCACTTTATTTTTAATACGTCACACCTGGCATGTTGAAAAGCGGCAACACGGCCGCGGCCGGGCCACAATGCTGACCCACCACCACCTCCACACAAGGCTATTCAACGTTTTCCAATATGGCGGAGATAGAAGTGCTTTATTTGGCGCGTATTTTAAAACCTGTTTTATTTCCAAACAGACATTTTTCACACAAATGTCGGGTTAGATTACGTAATATTTCACTATTTTTTTAATATACAGGGAGTCTAAAGTTCTCCACATAAGTATGGAATTTTTTGTATTATTACTTTTATGAAAACATCAGTTAGTGTATATGTATAAATATCTTTTTATAAAAAGGTCTCCTTTCTCAGAAAATAGGTAGGTAGTGTTAAAATATTCAAACTTGAGGTAGCATATATAGGGTGTTCAAAATCATCGGAAAAAGACCAGACATATATGACCGAAAATAGCAATATAAACTAAATATTCAATTGCAAACACATACCTACCATAGTTTAGAATTTACTGAACGTTTGATAAATATATACTATTATGGACAGTATAGGAAGTTACTTGTCTTAGTAAAAGCCATGGTTAAATGCTCTTGGAACTATAAACTACACTGGCTTGGGTCAAAAAATATGGAATATTTTTTCTATGTTTTGCAGCATTACACAAATGGGAATAAATTTAAACTATAACAGGTGAGGATAAGTAAAAAATATAATATATGTTTCAAGATTTTATATTGAAAAAAAACTAAATACCTTTTTGGGGGTTCGTAAGTAAAACTTACGCTTAGCTTAGTTTTCTTTACTCTTTCTCTTTACATAGGGCATTGACTTTGTGGTAAAGATGTCATTCCTTTTTTTTGCATAGTTCTTCAATAAAATATGGGATATTCTGAACAAGATGGATTTAGTAATAAATTCTGATGTATGTGAGGGGCAATAGTGACCTAAAAAAAGACTTACATCCAGGCCATTTATATTTTCAAATGTCAATGTTCTCAATATCTTTCTGTGATCTTTTTGATGTAAAAAGCTTGATTCTTCTTAAAATATTTTACTTATAGTGAGTAGCAGTAGCCATAACTACATCCTCACTAGGGTAACAGAGGTTTTGGCCTTTAGCCTTTTTGAGGCATATTTAATGCACTTCTTACCCGAGAACTACTAGTAGGAGTGAAATTATCTCTTTTAATAGCTGTCAACCATTTTTTACGAATCTCGTCATTTTTGGGGAATATAAAAGCAGAAACCTTGGGACCCCCTCTATAATTCTAGTGACAATTTGCAACAGAGCATGTAAAAGGCATGCTACAATAAAATATTAATACCTACCCTTTAATACCTATCTTCTGATTATTGTAAGTAACCATTATAAAGTATTTTGCAGACTGGCGGCGAAGGCTTTTTACTCAATTAGGTGTAATATCTTGATAAATACTTCTAGTTCTTACCTTAAATAATTAATAATAGAGGAGTACGACAAGCACAAAAGTTTAAAGTTCCCTATGTGGAATGTCTAGTTTGGATTTTTATTACACTGTTATTTTATCACAATTTTCTGATCACACCATGCACTGAACACTAAGAACTAAACAAACGTGTTGCAGAAGCACAACAAACTAGAGATAATTAATTATTTCTGGCATGCAATCGGAACGCGAAACCACTACCAGCTTTTCAGGTTAAAGGTAAACACTTTAATAATGCGCTGCCTTCGCCGCCATATTTGCCTTGCCCATATCATGTTGATTGGCCTTGAGTTGAGGTGGTGCTGGTCAAATCAAATCGCAATGTTGCCAGTTGTTGGCTGGCGCACGAGCACGGTTCTGCAATGTGATTGAGCGTATTTTTCATACGTCATCAATTGGCACTTTAAAATTATTTCAAATTAAAGCAATTTTGAGGGCCTATAAAAAAATTATTCAATGTCATGGAATACTTTTTTTGGATAAATATACTGAAAATAGTCTTCTATTTCAGATTTTGTCCTTGAATTGGGTATTTTATTTTTTGTGAAAGAGCCCATTAGTAGAAAAGGTTGTCAAACTTTTAAATTTTCCACTAACTATACTTCAAAATTTGCGAAAAATGTCATTTTGGCCTTTGATTATCTTCCTTCAAGATAAATTGTGGTAAGAAATCAAAAGTTGATTATTTTATAAGCTAAATATTAGGCTTTCTCTATGGATACAACTGACTAATGCAAGCTGTTGCTATGATATTCTATTACTTTTAATTGTGTTTTTTTAAATATTGTGAATGATCGTAAACTAAAAAAGTACAAGTTTAATTGAAACCACTAATGTATTCCACTAATTGCGAGGTTCTGAATGAAGCTTAAGTAAATAAAATTAAAAAAATTCAGTCTTACCCAATATATGCACTTGTCGTGGGTTTAAAATGTACTGAAACTTCCTCAGGACTTTGTGTCCCTGTCTACCTCCAGATTTAGGGTTGATAAACACAAGAAGGGGTACAGAATTTGCCGATGGGGTGATTTGAAACGACATGGCCGGTTGCTTGGTTTGGTTTGTCGTAATCGAGGTCTAAAAAGTTAAAAAAATTACTATTAGTAAATCTATAAGTAATTCAGCATATTTCGTCTTGGCATTTAGAGTACTACTGCTGGTGTTCCTATATTTAGGATGGCTGGCTTTGTCTAGATTACGTCAGCTTACAACACCTTATCTCCGAGACCGCCGCAGCATGTTCGTTCCTCGAAAAACAAAGCTCGAGCAATATTACGAATGTTGCATCATTGTTAGAAGATTAGTCAGTTAAGATCGACTTTCGAACTTTTCACGTATTTTTAAGCCGAATAAAACGTATTTTTGGGGAAAATAGTGGTTTAATTTAAGTAAAAAGACTAATTGCCTGTCCCAAATCTAACATCAGAAGTGGGATATGTGCCCCAGTGTGCCCCAAAAGTAGTGAAAAATGATTTTTTTAACATTAAGACAGTATTGCGCAACATGGCGAAATGTGATAAATGTGCAAAGTTCTAACGATACCGATTTTGAACTATCAGAAGAATCATTTCTCCTGTGTATTAGTGATCATTAAAGGACATATAAACAATAAAACAATCAATTTGTGAATGCCTTCAGATCGAAAACATTAAATTGAAGAGAAGACATTGTTCCGTCGGAGTGTGTTGGAGATTCAAATGAAAATGTATCAACAAGAGTCGAGCCGATTTCTGAATATTCTAAAGGTACAGTACAGTCACAGTACAGTGGAAAGAAACATTAATTTCCACTTTCAAACTGTTCACATATTCCTAAGCCGAATAAAATGTATTTTTGGGGAAAATAGTGGTTTAATATAAGTAAAAAGACTAATTACCTGTCCCTAATCTAACATCAGAAGTGGGATATCTGCCCCAGTGTGCCCCAAAAGTAGTGAAAAGTGATTTTTTTAACATTAAGACAGTATTGCGCAACATGGCGAAATGTGATAAATGTCCAAATTTCTGACGATACCGATTTTGAACTATCAGAAGAATCATTTCTCCTGTGTATTAGTGATCATTAAAGGACATATAAACAATAAAACAATCAATTTGTGAATGCCTTCAGATCGAAAACATTAAATTGAAGAGCCTTCAGAACGAAAACATTAAATTGAAGAGAAGACATTGTTCCGCCGGAGTGTGTTGGAGATTCAAATGAAAATGTATTAACAAGAGTCGATCCGATTTCTGAATATTCTAAAGGTACAGTACAGTCACAGTACAGTGGAAAGAAACATTAATTTCGACTTTCAAACTGTTCACATATTCTTAAGCCGAATAAAACGTATTTTTGGGGAAAATAGTGGTTTAATTTAAGTAAAAAGACTAATTACCTGTCCCTAATCTAATATCAGAAGTGGGATATGTGCCCCAGTGTGCCCCAAAAGTAGTGAAAAGTGATTTTTTTAACATTAAGACAGTATTGCACAACATGGCAAAATGTGATAAATGTGCAAATTTCTGACGATACCGATTTTGAACTATCAGAAGAATCATTTCTCCTGTGTATTAGTGATCGTTAAATTCCATAATCGTGATTCCATAAATTGAAGAGAAGACATTGTTCCGTCGGAGTGTGTTGGAGATTCAAATGAAAATGTATCAACAAGAGTCGAGCCGATTTCTGAATATTCTAAAGGTACAGTACAGTCACAGTACACTGGAAAGAAACATTAATTTCGACTTTCAAACTGTTCACATATTCCTAAGCCGAATAAAACCTATTTTTGGGAAAAATAGTGGTTTAATTTAAGTAAAAAGACTAATTACCTGTCCCTAATCTAACATCAGAAGTGGGATATGTGCCCCAGTGTGCCCCAAAAGTAGTGGAAAGTGATTTTTTTTAACATTAAGACAGTATTGCGCAACATGGCGAAATGTGATAAATGTGCAAATTTCTGACGATACCGATTTTGAACTATCAGAAGAATCATTTCTCCTATGTATTAGTGATCATTAAAGGACAAATAAACAATAAAACAATCAATTTGTGAGTGCCTTCAGAACGAAAACATTAAATTGAAGAGAAGACATTGTTCCGTCGCGCGTCGGAGTGTGTTGGAGATTCAAATGAAAATGTATCAACAAGAGTCGAGCCGATTTCTGAATATTCTAAATGTACAGTACAGTCACAGTACAGTGGAAAGAAACATTAATTTCGACTTTCAAACTGTTCACATATTCCTAAGCCGAATAAAACGTATGTTTGGGAAAAATAGTGGTTTAATTTAAGTAAAAAGACTAATTACTTGTCCCTAATCTAACATATATTATATTCCTATGTTTATTATTTCCTATATTATATTGATATTTACTCAATAAATACATCTTTCGGTATTTGGTGATTTTAGTTATAAAAGAGAAGGCTCGAACCTCAGCGACCCTAACAAAAAAAAGGACCAAAGCTAGGTCGTGAGAGTATTATTATATTATTATACTACTCGTAGCCTTATACACACACCGGAAAAGTCTAGGGATATTACAATTTTATCCAGCCATCGTCAGTAATTTTATTATTTGCATTTTTGATACAATAAAATTAAAATAAACAAAGGGTTTACAGGACGTATTGGAAATAAAAATGCGAAATTTACCGAATTTTTTTTATTTACCTTGATTTTTATTGAACTCAAAAAATACACACATTTTTTTTATTCTAAACTGTGAATTAAAAAAAAAATAATACCATTTTTACTTAATAAAGAGTATGGCCTCCTCTACTGTTCATTACAGCCCTACATCGTCTCTCCATGCTCCTGATCAGGTTGTCGATCTCTTCTTGAGGTACAGCCTGCCACGCTGCATTCACGGCTCGAACCAGATCCCTACGAGTTTCACGAGGCATACCCATTCTCAAAATTCTTCTTTGGACCGCGTCCCATACGTGCTCGATGGGGTTGAGGTCAGGAGATTGTGCCGGCCAGGGTAAGATTAATTGATGAGCATTGATAAACTCACTTACCACTCTGGCTGTATGAGGCCGTGCATTGTCATGCATGAGAATGAAGTTTCTCCCAAAATCAATGGCATATGGTAACACGACAGGCTCAAGAATTAAATCACGATATGTGATTCCTGTTAGAAACCTTTCAAGAAAAACAAGATCGGTTTTTCGGCCTAACTGAACTCCTCCCCAGACCATAACTGTTCCACCTTGATAAGGGTGCACTTCCTGAACATGATCCAACCGAATAAGATTTCCCGGTTCTCTCCATACCCTAAGCCTTCTCGAATCTGGATGAATTCCAAAGCGTGACTCATCCGTGAAAAGAACATTTGCCCATTGTTCATTCGATCACTGAACATGATCTTGAGCCCACAAATATCGTACCTCTCGATTTCTCTCGTTAAGGGTTGAGCTCTCCAGGGGCGTCTGCTTCTTAAGTTAACCTCTCTTAATCTATTGCCAACAGTGTCAGGACTAACGGTTACATTATGTGTTTCCTGGAGAATTAAACTAAGCTATGGTGCTGTAAGAGTCGGTCGGCGTCGAGCATTTAATTGTAAAAAATGATCTTGCTGAGGGGTAGTAATGCGATGTCGCCCTGGGTGCCTTTCAGCAACATCACCACTTTCACGGTACCGTGCACTTAATCGCGATATTACACTTTGCGTTGTATTTAATGCTCTAGCTACGTCGATTTGGCGCATTCCAGCTTCGAGCATACCCATGGCCCTTAGCATTTCGTCTTTGTTAAGATGTCTACGCTCCATAATGTCGTTTAATACTAAATAGAGTTATTTGAATGAATTCTGGCCAGTTAACATAAAAACACAGCCAGTACAGGTTAAATTCGAACAATTGATGCTAGGTGCTTTTTATACATTTGACAAAAAATGCACCAACACTTCTGCAAATATCCCAAATTTAGAAATAACTAGTGTGACTACTTCGTTTCAATCGAAGTAGAAAGAATCGGCCTACAAATTTGTGGTTGTTTATTCAAAACATTTATTTTTAACTTTAATAAAATGATATCCCTAGATTTTTCAGGTGTGTGTAGTATTACATATTATGATGTCTACGTACCACACTGACATTATCCCCTCCATATCTCGAACCTCGTTTTTGCAGTGACCTCTGTCTGTCAAGAACTATAGGACAGATTGCTGTGGGTGGTAGTATGTGTACAGCGTGTTCTCCCAGTCCGCACTCAGCCTTAACTTGGGAAACGCACTTATTGTGAAGCTGTGAAAAAATAACGTTCTTAAATGCATTATTTTACTTTTGAACATAGGCGGCCAGTTTAAAAATTGGTAATACCGGGTACATCTCGAAAGTAGCTCACCCCAACTTAACATAAATTAGGATTAATTGACGTATTCAAATTTTTTTTTGGTCACTTATTCCTGTTTCACCGGAAATGACTACAACTTTTGATTTTAAAAATCAATTCTATTTTAATTGATAAAAAATAACACACTGAATAGAATGACATATCATACGTCAATTTTGACATTTTTGCATATGATTTATTTGAAATTCTAAGATGCGGTTCATAATGACAATTTGACTCGAAATACCAAGTGTGTGGTGCCAAATTATTCGTAAAAAAAATAATTTTCCAAAAAAATTGAGATAGGTATGATTAAAAATACGATCTAGGCATCTTTTAACCGATCAGGACAAGACACGAAAAACATGAGACGATCAAAACTATTTTTTCCAAAGCGCCTTCATTAAAAATTAGAAATCTAGATTGAAATTTAAAATACGATTTTTTTAAACGAAAATGTCAAAAGTTGACATATGATATGTCATTCTATTCAGAGTGTCTTTTTTTAAAGAATAAAGTAGAAATATACCAGTAATAAGTAGAAATATACAGGAAATGACCAAAAACAATTGAATACGCCAATCAATCCTAATTTATATCATATACTAACATACCAAATCTCGTTTTTTTATCTGAAAAATTAAAAAAAATATAGGGGGTGAGCCACTTTCGAGACGCACCTGGTAGAGTATATTAGAGAGCTCCATAACAAGACAAATAAAATAAAAATAAATAATATAAAGGTGTCCCACAAAAAAAACAGGTTTTGTCAAAACATAGTCAGAGTCATATTTCGGAAATGACAGCTTTTAGCAAAAAAATAGTTACGCCACTGGATTCTACGTGAAAAACTAAACAGGACTCGAAAAGGATCGAAAAGTGCAACATTTTCAAATTCGCTCTGTATTTCAGAAACTAAGACGGCTAGGACAAATCTGTGTGTTGCATCTTTAGTTTCATAAAAAAACCGGAAACCGTAAGAGATACAGGATCGGTTAAATGGAGGCAAAGGATGCTCAATAAAATGGATGCTCAATAAAATGCCGTATTGCATTTTGAATTAAAAAAAAAAAAAAAAAAAAAAAAAAAAAAAAAAAAAAACTGAATTTTCAATTTTGTTTCTATTGTTTTCCTGGCTTTCTGTGTGATATCTCGAACCTCGTTTTTGCAGTGACCTCTGTCTGTCAAGAACTATAGGACAGATTGCTGTGGGTGGTAGTATGTGTACAGCGTGTTCTCCCAGTCCGCACTCAGCCTTAACTTGGGAAACGCACTTATTGTGAAGCTGTGAAAAAATAACATTCGTAAAAATGCATTATTTTACTTTTGAACATAGGCGGCCAGTTTAAAAATTGGTAATATCGGGTACGTCTCGAAAGTAGCTCACACCAACTTTTTTATTTTTTCAGATAAAAAAACGAGATATGGTATGTTAGTATATGACATAAATTAGGATTAATTGACGCGTTCAGAATTTTTTTTGGTCACTTCCTGTTTCACCGGAAATGACTACAACTTTTGATTTTAAAAATCAATTCTATTTTAATTGATAAAAAATAACACACTGAATAGAATGACATATCATATGTCAATTTTGACATTTTTGCATATGATTTATTTGAAATTGTGAGATGCGGTTCATAATGACAATTTGACTCGAAATACCAAGTGTGTGGTGCCAAATTATTCGTAAAAAAAATAATTTTCCAAAAAAATTGAGATAGGTATGATTAAAAATACGATCTCGGCATCTTTTAACCGATCAGGACAAGACACGAAAAACATGAGACGATCAAAACTATTTTTTCCAAGGCTCCTTCATTAAAAATTAGAATTTTTAATACAGCCATGACACTCTAAATTGAAATTTAAAATATGATTTTTTTAAACGAAAATGTCAAAAGTTGACATATGATATGTCATTCTATTCAGAGCGTCATTTTTTAAAGAATAAAGTAGAAATATACCAGTAATAAGTAGAAATATACAGGAAATGACCAAAGACAATTGAATACGCCAATCAATCCTAATTCATGTCATATACTAACATACCAAATCTTTTTTTTTATCTGAAAAATTAAAAAAAATATAGGGGGTGAGCCACTTTCGAGACGCACTTGGTAGAGTATATTAGAAAGCTCCATAACAAGACAAATAAAATAAAAATAAATAATATAAAGGTGTCCCACAAAAAAAAACAGGTTTTGTCAAAACATAGTCAGAGTCATATTTCGGAAATGACAGCTTTTAGCAAAAAACTAGTTACGCCACTGTATTTTACGTGAAAAACTAGACAGGACTCGAAAAGGATCGAAAAGTGCAACATTTTCCCTTGTATTTCAGAAACTAAGACGGCTAGGACAAATCTGTGTGTTGCATCTTTAGTTTCATAAAAAAACCGGAAACCGTAAGAGATACAGGATCGGTTAAATGGAGGCAAAGGATGCTCAATAAAATGGATGCTCGATAAAATGCCGTATTGCATTTTGAAAAATTCCGAATACTTCCGAATATATTCGAAAAAAAAACGAATTTTCAATTTTGTTTTCTATTGTTTCCTGGCTTTATTTGTTAAAATAACTTAAAATGAAAAACACATTTTCATGACTACTTTTTCTGCTCCATACCTCTGTGTGATTAAATATTGACTCTGTCATTTTCAATTTAATTAAATCCTTTCATCACTCTTAAAACACTATACAGAGTGGGGCACCTCATTCGCCTCGATTGATTATACGAAAATGGAAAGATGTAGAAACAAAATATTTTAGGGATATATGTGGGGAGACAACGTGCACAATTTAAAATTATTTTGAAATATACAGGGTGTTTCAGAACTAAGATCCATACCAAAGTTATATTTTTTCTTATGGAACACTCGGTATTTTATTTCATTTTTAGATTCTTGGGCCCAAAAAAAGGTATTTATTATAAGGGTTAAATATGTTTAAAATCTTTGGTTTTTGAGATATTGAAAGATATTTAAATTTGCATGCTACAATAGATTTCATTACTTTTCAGAATTAGTTCAGAATTAGTTCTTGTGCTGAGTTTAAAGGTAGAGATATAAACTTTACAGAAAAAAATTATTCCTTCCTTAAATGTATACAGGGGTATCAAAAATATATTATTTTACATAAAAACTTCGTTATTTCAAATGCAACATTATGTATTTTTTTAAATAAGTCGAAGCAGATTTAAATGCTTCAAACTATATTAGGGTTTCCTACACCTATTTGGCTCAGATTTTGAATAAAAAGCGATTTTTCAATAAAATTGTAATCAAGATGGCTAGTGTTGTCATGGCAGATTTCTAGTGACAGTTAGTAGCTATTTTCAAAATCGAAATTAGTTTATGGACTTAAATTTATACCAGTTTATTTTTATTTAATTTACCTACAATAGTTTAATAAATATTTATTAAATATATGTTTATTATTCTATCAAGAAAAAGGAAGAAGTAGTCTTTGAATTATTTTACGATGACTTGTAGATATATGGATTTTCTATAAAAGAGCCAATTACGGCAAATTCATTTTCTTCACTTCCAACGACAGGTTTCTGCCTAATAGGTTTTTTTATAAACCACACTACCAGGCGAAATAGGACAAGAAGTTTTTCAAAGAAACTCTTATCAGGAAGATTCCTATTTGGATATCTTTGAGCCCTTGAGGCCAAGAAGCAATTTTCCTCACAAAATAATATCACTAGTAACCAATCTATTCGTTCCGCCAGCAGATACTGCTTTATTTTTCTTGATAAAATAATGAATACTTACCTATTAAACTATCGTAGGTAAATTTAAGTAAACTGTTATAAATTATAAATAATAATGTCTATAAACTAATGTCGACTTTGAAAATAGTTACTAACTGTCACTAGAAAATTGCCATGGCGACACCAGCCATCTTGATTACACTTTTATTTAAAAATCGCTTTTTATTCAAAATCTGAGCTAGATAGATATAGGAAACCCTAATATAGTTTGAAAGAGCATTTGAATCTGCTTCGATTTATTTAAAAAAATACAGCGTGTTACATTTGAAATAACAAAGTTTTTATATAAAATATATCCTTAAAATAGATCAGCAACTTTTGATAGCCCTGTATAAATTTAAGGAACCAATACCATTTTTCAGTAAAGTTTATTTCTCTACTTTTAAACTCAGCATAAGAATTAATTATGAAAAGTAATGTACAGGGTGTTAATAGTCTATTCTATTGTAGCATGTAAATTTAAATATGTTTAAATATCTCAAAAACTAAAGATTTTAAACATATTTAACCCTTATAATAAATGCCTTTTTTGGGCCCAAGAATCCAAAAATGAAATAAAATACCGGGTGTTCCATAAGAAAAAATATAACTTTGGTATGGATCTTATTTCTGAAACACTCTGTATAATTCAAAATAATTTTAAATTGTGCACGTTGTCTCCCCACATATATCCCTAAAATATTTTGTTTCAACATCTTTCCGTTTTCGTATAATCAACCGAGGCGAATGAAGTGCGCCACCCTGTATATAGTCACGTTGATATTTGCCGACGTTTCCTACAGAAAATTCCATCACCAGAATATTTTATGCAAAAAAATAAAATAAAAATGCAATGCGGCATTTTATTGAGCATCAAATTGCGCAACTTTGCCTCCATTTAACCGATCCTTTATCTCTTACGGTTTCCGAAATCTCAATGATGAGCGTCGAATTCGAGCCATCCTGTACATTTTCATAAGGGATAAAGTGTACTTACGTACAGTTGTTGGTTAAAGTACCTGACCACAAATTACAATTTCACCAAAATGGCCACAGATTTACTGTCTCTCCCCATCCCTCCGCAGGTTCCACTGGTTTACCGCCAGTAATTCCAGCGGGATTAAACCTGCGAAATTAATTTATGCCCTTGCGGGTAAAACCCCGGCTTTGATTAGCCACAGATTAGAGAGGATAAGTCTTATAGATTTATTACAATTTAGGCTAATCGTGAAGCGTAATTTATCAGATCAAAACGTCGATAGTTTGATAAAAGACCTTAGATATTTTAGTGGTTTATAGCATAGTAGAAGGAAAAGAGTAGTTGCACTCTCCTAAATATTTTCTGCCAGTTTTTACAATCTGTCGAATATCGGCAGATTGCAGATCGTTTCAGTTGAGTTCCGTCCGTCGATCTGCGAGGTTCGAGCGTTGCGTCCCAGCACAGAGATGGATTGACAAAAAATGAGTGCCTTACTGTGTGCTGCTATTGGTTGTAGTAATATTTCAAAAAATTGTGCTTTCAGTTGTTTTTGAGAGTCATTTATGATCATGTTTGTGTTCAGCTTAATTTTCTCATGACTGATTACTACTTATTAATTTGATATTATTTTATATTTTTATTTAATCCTCAATTTTTTATCGATTTTACTTTTGACAACCATCCCTTGCTTGCTGTTTAATGAACTGTACCATCATTGAACAAAAATTTGCTAGTACCGAAAGTACCGAAAAAAAATTGGAAACCCCGGTTCCTTAGAGATATAGTACCGAAATTACCGGTTCCGAAAAACAGCTCCTTCCTTAATCTTTTTATTCAACGGTGAAAACTGAAAACCTTACAGTTTTTCACGTAGAATCCAGTAACCAGTGGCGTAACTAGTTTTTCGCTGGGAGCTGTCGTTTTCGAAATATGACTCAAACTTTTTGTTTATTTGACTTGAACATCAGGTATATACATATATTTCTTAATTTTATTTCTCTTGTATTGTGAAATCAGATAACAATCACCTAAACTTACAGTTATTTGACACCATCTGCAATGTAGTCCTGTCACTCCAGCCTTTACTGGTTTCCTACATCTGCCGCATTTTCCGTGACAGTTTCCTTCAACCCAGTGGTGTAGTAACGTTTGGGATGACTTTTTACTTTTGACATATGTCGCTATACAGCTAGCTGGCGCTCTACCAACACATCTTTCATGTACGGTGTACTTACAAACTGAAAAAAAAACATTATTTGTTTATCACTTACATAATATTCATATGTGTCCTTTAAATCAGTGTAACTACTTTAAGGGATACTTATTTTTTTTTATTGAATTAACTATACTAGACTTACAGGTACAGCACAGCCCTTTTTTGCCTAATCCTACCAGCATGTTTAAGCATAAATTACAATATGCCGGTCTGCTGAAATGTTTTAGTCTCCACAGATGCTTTCCGTCTTCCTTGACGTTGGAATCTAGACCTAAAAGCACTAGAAGTGGGATGGTGGTAAGTCCACCCCTTTTCCACTCCTCTAGAGACACCAAGCCGTCTTTGTTGAAGTCTATTTCGACCATCATGTCTTGGAGAATCTGATAAAGAAAGAAAATTTGTAGAAAAAGAAACTAATCAATGGCGGATAAGATGGCTAATTTTGTTTCCGATAGTTCCTATCAAATATCTTAGGGTGTATTCCGTTGCTTACCTTGGTTATGGTTTTATGTTCCGTTTCTATCGGTTTCCTGAAAGTTTTCTTGTTACGGAACACGGTTCCTGAAAATTTCGGTTATAACTGTCACCAAACTAACCAGCGCGAGAAGGCTGGTTTTTCTGGTTTTGTTTTGTCAATCATTGTCATTTATGTGAGAGAAATCAAGCAAATATTGGAAGTTCGAGTGAAATTCTCATTTGATTTCTAAAATTTGTTATAATATTTTGTATTTACATCCAAAAGCAATGGAGGTAGGCAGTAAAGGTAAATAAATTTCATTAACTAAATAGAATGACTTTTTAGGACCATTTAAACTTATCATGCAGCCATTGTTTCTTAAAGTCAGAAACATTTAAAGAAAACATGAAAAACAAGACAAGTAATCGTGAATGTTTTGTAAGCTATAAAAATATAAATATTGATTAGATTTGTTTATTTATTATTGATCTGTTTTATTATTGGACCTGCAAATCTTCACTTGAGCTGTCTAACGAGTTTAACAGTTTATTAATAAGTACTTTTCAATATTAAACTCCATTGAAAAGAAGAAGCAAATGCAAAAGCAGAGAATAGGTACATTAAAAATACATAAAAGATAAATTTTATAATAAAGGTATTGAAATTTAGAAAACGTCAACATTTGGCATTTCCAGTATTTTACCAAACCGTTCCGTATCAAACCGATGTTCTTCAGGAACCGCTCTTTACCGTAGTTTACCGGTCATTCCGTACAAAAAAAAACAAGAACATGCTTATCAAGTACAGGCAAATTATGCAACTTACAGGTTTCAATTCGGATACATCCCATCCCAGGTACTCCGCCACTGTCATCATCTGATTTACTATACAGTCCACCTCATTTTTATCTAGAAATCCATTTCCGTCAGTGTCGTACAGTCGGAACATAACTGAAATCAAATAAAAGAAAAGTTACTGATAAATTTAAAGATAATAAATTATTATCAGTCTTACATTCCAGCTTGTCTTCGGGTCTGCCGGCCTCTAAAAGTGACAGATAACACACTATGTCTTTTAGTGACACTTTGAGACAGTTGACATCGATGGAGTTTTCCACAATATGCCTTACTTCTGAAAGAGAGAAAAAAAATAATCTGCTTTGAAGAAAAATATTAAAGAAGGTGCATAAATCAACAAAGTTAAGTGGAAAACGATGTCTATGACTTAATTTTTTAAAATGTCAATTTTGACAGTATGACGCCAACTTTATTTTTTTTAAATAGAAACCTCCACATATTTTAGCATCTTCCGGTAGACATATTTTAGCTAATTTCAAAAATATATAGTTTAGTTAGTATACTTTGCGCTTACCGTTTTCGATATACAGTGCATTTAAAAATGAAATGTTCTAGAATCATTTTAAGTGTCTCAGCCAATTTAAAATTTTCTTGTTTCCTATTTTAAGATAGTAAAAAGATATTTTAGAGTATTTTTTCGCGAGTATGTCGATTTTTTATCTGATTTTTTTTAAATTATTTATTATATTAAACATTTATTATACAATATATTTTTAAAATTAGCTAAAATATGTCTACCGGAAGATGCTAAAATATGAGGGAGTTTCCATTTTAAAAAATGAAGATGGCGTCGTATCTGTCAAAATTGATGATTTAAAAAAATTTCAGATAAAAAATCGGCATACTCGCGAAAAAAATACATTAAAATATCTTTTTACTATCTTTCTGAGTTTCTGAATTTATTCCTGTTTCACCAGAAATGACTACAACTTTTGATTTTTAAATGACACCCTCGATATTTTGTTACTTTATTCGATAGAAAATGACACTTTGAATGGAATGACATATCATATGTCAACTGTGATTTCCGGTTATAGGGTTAGCAGTGATTTCCGGTTATAGAGTTAGCAGTGATTTCCGGTTATAGGGTTAGTAGTGATTTCCGGTTATAGGGTTAGCAGTGATTTCCGGTTATAGAGTTAACAGTGATTTCCGGTTATATGGTTAGCAGTGATTTCCGGTTATAGGGTTAACAGTGATTTCCGGTTATATGGTTAGCAGTGATTTCCGGTTATAGGGTTAACAGTGATTTCCGGTTATATGGTTAGCAGTGATTTCCTGTTATAGGGTTTAAAAATGTATGTTTTTAACACAGCCAAGTTAAAAAATACCGAGGGTGCCTTTTAAAAATCAAAAGTTGTAGTAATTTGCGGGGAAACAGGAAGTGACCAAAAAGAATTGAATACGTCAATCAATCCTAGTTTATGTCATGTATTAACATACCAAATATCGTTTTTTTTTAATCTTAAAACATAAAAAAGTTATAGGGGTGAGCCACTTTTGAGACTCACCCGGTATATCAAAATAATTAACGTTTTTTCGAAATATCACAACATGTAATTTTATTTTCTGTCATTTTTTGATGTAGTCTATCGAAATTTTCCCCCACTCGTTGGACAAACCATACATTAGTTGGGAAATTGCGCAATCTTCACATGTTAATGGTACGCCCATACGTGTCCGATTGATATCCGCCCTAGAAAATCTATTTGCGGACGCATACCGTGCGTTTCCCGGATTATTCCCGGATGCGGAGAGATATATAGAATAAAGGGATTGAAGGGGGAGGCAGGATGGGGACTAAGGAAGGGATATATAGGGATACAGCGCTGGAATTTCCGAGGAAATCAAAGGACAGATAGTGTGAGTGGGAGGGCAGAAACAGAGGGCTTGAAGGGAGTGAGGAATGGCAGTAAGGAAGACTGTCACGCGTTAGGGTGGATGTAAAGGGATAAAACATAATATTGTAATCGCAAAACATTTTCCGATGCACGTCATCAATCATATCGACATTGACATTAATATGTTGTATAATTTAAGATACCGAGCAGCTCTTCATTTTATTTTATAGAGCAAATGATTGTAACAGATATTTTATTTAGATTAAAGCTGCAAAAATTAGTTTAAACCGAATTTTATTATCGCTATGTTGGTCACATTGCGCCGTGTTCAGCAATGTTGTCCTACACTGAAAAAAATATTGTTCATAATGTTAATGAACCTTGATTATTAACTGTTGTTTCATTGGGACAATGAGTTTTTTCATAAATATAATGATTTGTTAATCATAGATCGATGTCCGATTTATTAATACTATGAATCTAATTTCATCAATATAATGAAAATCTGGTTATTAAATTAATGTAAGATTTTCATTAATATAATGAACGCGTTCATTGTCCCAATAAACGCGTTCTTTATTTTAGTGCTGAAACTTTAATAAACACATATTCATTATATTAATGTACTAAATCATTATGACAATGAACAATGTTATTAATACAACGAACACACTACATTATATTAATGTACGCGGTTATTAATATCAAGAATAAAATATTAGGGCTTAAATGTCCGCCATGTTGGTCGGTTACTTTGGTACTTTAATAACGTCTGTGTGGTTGAGTTATTCAGTGAAGCTTTAGTTTCATTAGAGCGGTAAGTGTTCTCTTCAATATTTTAAATATTTTAAACAAAAGTCCTATCGTATTGTAATTAATTTGTTGTGTTGTCAAATCAAATTCCGCTGTGTGAGATCTCTGGTGTGGGTATTCATTAAAACAGCGGTTTCCAAATATGTTTCAAAAGATAAAAAACAAAAAGAAGAAAAACATAGTAACAAAAGTCGAGGCATGGAACTGAGTATGGTAAATTCGAATGTTCTTTTAATATTTGGAATTTTAATTATTTTGATATACGTCTTTTAGAACCGGAAGAAGATGTTGAGACCTGCCTTCAAGCCCTCAAATTCGACAATTTAACATCGGACCCACTTGATGCGACTTGGAAAGCCTGTTGCAAATTCGTCTAGATGTTATCAAATCTAAGGATACAGCTAATATAATGAAAAAATGGTCTTTTTATAGAAATCCCTCAGGATATCGACTGGTAAATTAATTTTCTTATGATAATTTACCCTAAAATTAATAATAACATTACTATACCCTTCGCCGATTCGATTTTTTAATTTTTAATTTGTATATGCTATATCGAGTTTAATAAATTATTATTAGTTTATTGCACTTGTTTTTTATTAATAATCCCTAATGGAAAAATTTACTGTGCTCGTAAGTAAGTCGGCACTATTAGTAATTTTGTTACCTTTGTAGCTAAGGGCTTGTTCAAATGGAAATCTATTTACAGTAGAATTATATCAGGTAGTTGGCTGGGAAATGACTACCAATGACATTTCATATCAATGACAGCGATCTTCATCATCGATTATACGGTGTAACAAGAGTTACTAATAGTGTCGACTTTTAAATGTATAACTAAATAGGTTATGAAATTATTTCATTGTATTAATGAAATCTGTTCATTGTACCAATGAATGTGTTCTTCAAATTAATGAACTTAAAGTTCATAGAGTTAATGAATTACTGAACCAAAAGTCGACATAAATATAATGAAAAAGTTCATTAATATAATGAATTAAATCATTAATTTTGAGCCGATGAACGATTTCATTGGCACAATAAAAAGTAATTCATTAACTCTATGAACTTTAAGTTCATTAAATCAATGATCAGTGTTCATTAATTTGAAGAACACATTCATTGGTACAATGAACAGATTTCATTAATACAATGAAATTATTTCATTGTATTAATGATAACGGTTCATTAATACAATGAAATTATTTCATATAATTATTATGATACCGTATCATTAATACAATGAAATTATTTCATTGTATTAATGAAATCTGTTCATTGTACCAATGAATGTGTTCTTCAAATTAATGAACACTGTTCATTGATTTAATGAACTTAAAGTTCATAGAGTTAATGAATTACTTTTTATTGTGCCAATGAAATCGTTCATCGGCTCAAAATTAATGATTTAATTCATTATATTAATGAACTTTTTCATTATATTTATGTCGACTTTTGATTCAGTGTTAATTATTTGACAATTATCCTAATGTCAGTCATTATTTTGTATAATATAGTGTTGTTGTTGAATTGTTGTGAGCAATTCTCTTTTTTTTGCCTATTTTCGTAGTATTTTTTTAAAAATTGCACTCTTAAACACAAACAGTTCTTTTAAGAACTAAATTTTCGAGTTTTTGTATTGCATTTCTTGAAATTGTATGTTGAAAATATGCCGAAGCATTTAAACAGTCGAAGCAAAAAGCTTGTAGCTTCCCTGATAAACTATTTTGAACGAGAACGTGATAATAAAGATCCTTTATTACCCTTGACTGCAGTCAGAGAAGTAAGTTTGATTGATAAACACATTATACCACTTTCAAAGTTAGTTTATTAAATTCTGTAATTATTAGTTTATGCATTAATAACACCCTCTTACTTGTTATTACCACTTATAGCGTTGTAAGATGTACATCAATAAATAAATAAATAAATAACCCATAATAACGCTTAGAATAATCTTCATAATGGACTATTCTTTGCCAAAATGTACTAAGTAAAATAATAAATCAATTGATTACTAAAATATTAGTTATTAAATTAAAAATAAAATACTTAAAAGTCTTTAAAAAATAATATAATAAATATATATTGTTTGTCACTTTTAAATTAAGATTCATCTCATAAATCCATCACAATCTGGCAGCGCTGTCGCCATCGCTTGTCACTCAAAGTTGATCACGTGCATCGGAAATTGTTTTGCGATTACCATAGAAGGCTAAGAATAATTCAGTAAGAAATAAATAACATTAATTCCCCGTCCCCTTTCAAAATGCCGGAACGAGTCGCCTCTGGCCGTTAGCGCTTCCGTGGCGTTTTTTTTTTCGTTTTCTATCTGGCTGGCGGGGTGAGTTTATCGGATTTAGGTTATGTTTGCTCGAAGGAGCCCGGGAAGAAGTGGATGAAACGCTAAGGGCAAGGAGGCTGCCTCCTAAGGGTGGATTAGTGACGTAGTAGTAGTCAGGGGTTATTTTATAAAGTTTTCCGTACTTTTTTAGCTTACCGTCCACTTTTTCGTAGGCGAGTTTTTAACGTCGTAATCGCCAATAAGGTTAGCTAAATTTAGTCTGTGGCAATCTCCCCTCTTGGAAAAGATGTTTCTAAAATAAGCACTTAAAAATTAAAAATAAACTGTCCTAGACAGTGACGGCTCCTCGATAAATGCACATCGTCGACTTTTTTTTACGAAGAGGCCTAGGATAGACTAAAATATTGGAGTCATCTTCTGATCTTTAGGTTACATTCTCCAGTCCCATCCTTTTCAAAAGGTCTAGCAACTTGGATAATGACCCCTCCATATAGGTCTTTGTCAATGGCCTATTATTGCCAAGTACAAAGAACCGACATAGAATGTGTTCTGTCAATTCTTCTTCAGATTGATAAAATCTACACATGGCTTCATCTCTATCAGCAAAATGTAGCCGTTCGCAGGATGTAGCAAAAAAAATGTTACACACTTATTTTTTAGCGCCCAACGTGGGCCTACTGCGTACATGAATTAAAATGGATGCTTTGAATAAGAAGACTAAGGAAGAAAAATCTTAGGTACACCGCGATGGGCCTCAAATATGGCCGTTCGCAGGATGTAACAAAAAAAATGTTACACACTTATTTTTTAGCGCCCAACGTGGGCCTACTGCGTACATGAATTAAAATGGATGCTTTGAATAAGAAGACTAAGGAAGAAAAATCTTAGGTACACCGCGATGGGCCTCAAATATGGCCGACTTAAATTCCGGTTTATCAGTGTCGTTCTAACTTTATTTAAAAAATGTAAAACTATCGTTTAATTTAAATAAGTTTTTCTAGTTTTTTCCTGATTTTTTTTGGGGGGGCATTGACCATTTGATCTCATGGTTAAACCGCCACTGTGTAACCTTATAGATTCTCTCGTTTGACAGAATTTAGATATAAATTCTCTTATTAGTATTATGGGATATTTTTAAGCCTGGAGTTTGATATTTTTAGTAAAATAAATTAATATTTTTACCTTCTAGTTTTCCGTTGTTGATTAACAGTGAATTGTTGGACTTCTTCGATGAGTTCCTTGAGATCTGACTATGAGATGGACTGGAGTCTGTGCTTTTCTTCCCCACCACTTCGTGACAGGAGTATGACGTATGCGTGATGGTCAACATGGGATGGACAGTACCTAAAAACAACACAAATATTCTATAGTATAAATTGCGAGACTTATTTCGTTTTAAAATGTTTATAAGCGTTTTACACGTTCAGTGTGTACGTGATTTCATCTGTAAGAATGGAAAATGTTACATGAAATATACTATACATAGAATTAACTACATGATTAAATATTAATCAATTCAAGTTTTGAATAATGTTGATAAAATGATAAACCTCGAGATATATATTGATAGAGTCGGTTAAATTAATGATTTGTTTGAGAGATATGGAATCGAATTTCTGTTTATCTAGATTTAGATAAATTAAATTCAAATAGGTTTATGTCATAAATTTCAGAGAAATAAGAGAATATAGAGGCGCCAGTAGGATTATAAATTAAAGAATATTCTTTTAAAGCAGTTGTTTGCAACGCGTTTATCGGTTTACCAGGTACATTTTGCGCTGCGCCGGGTGTACAGGGTGTCCCATTCTCTTTTCATTTTTTACCGACACAATAAAGTGATTTTAAAGTCTTTAATTTGAAGTTACAAAAATAAAATATACAAACAATGCAAAAACTATACTCATAAACCAGAAATATTTATTACAATTGAAAAATACTTAATTCTAACGTTGTACGGCTGTTACTGCCTCTAGGTTTACTTATTTCTCTGATTTTACGTACGTTTAATGTGGGATTGAACGTAGGAGAATAGAAGAAACTCTACATCAAACGTTATTCCGCGTCAAACTATATTTATTCTCTTTTGATTTGCATCGTGTGCGACAGCTGCAGGTGTAAAGAGATTTTCCGATGATATCCGGTAAAGGAAAACCGGGAAAATCTGGTTGGAGTTTCTCCGTAATAGTCCGGAAAACCTTCCTGTGAGAGAAACCTCGAAAAATAGTCGGGGAAAACGAAAAATAACAAAATTAAAGCGGACCACAGAGGTAGAGATGTTCAAAAATATGTGTTATAAAAAATCGATATATTTCGGTATCGATATTTTAAAAAAACATTGACGTATAGACGTAAAATTGAATACTGAACAGTATCCTAGATTATTTAAGCCATGTTTCATATACTCGTATTCATACAAGTAATATTATTATAAAGCTAGAGCATTCAGGGTGGTCCGAACTGTATTCCGGAAACTTCGGCAGCATATTCTGCAGATAAAAATAAGTAAAAAAGTTTGTATAAATGTATGTCCTAAAATGCTCAGTTTCGGAGATACAGGGTGTAGAAGTTTCATTTTTATATCGATATTTTCCAAATAATTTCTGAAGTAATGTCAATATTTGGATAAAAATTGGTGTCTGGGAGTTTTTTGACATAAGAAATTTGATTTTGATGTCAATATGATTCCTACTTGTAGAGGGAGCCACCTACGTATTTTTTAACTAGTTTGGGGAATTATAAATTTTTGTCCGTACCTCTATAAAATTACTCAGTGAAAAAATATATATTTATGACGTTTTTTACGTAAAAAAAGGTTTCTTGGTAAAAATTGTTACGAGTAATGGTTCTCGAAATATTTGGAATCTAAATTATCAATACCTGTCATAAAAATCATATCACATAAATTAAACATGTTGACTAAATAGTTATTAGACTGAAATCATAAATTTGAAATATTTTTGTGCCAAAAGTTCAACAGAAACTGTTTTATCATAATTTTTTCGAAGAAATAATAAAATTTATTTTTTGTCAAATAATGACATATATTGACTATTTCCATTCTAAATATCTTGAGAACGGTTGCTCGTAGCGATTTTTACCAAGAGACATTTTTTACGTAAAATATCATGTAAATGTATATTTTTTTACTCAGTAGTTTTATACAGGTACGGACGAAAAGTTATTACCCTTCAAAACAGTTAAAACACATGTAGGTGGCGCCTTCTAGAAATAGGAGTCATATATACCGTGAGCCTTCTCTTTCTCAACAACGCTTATTAGTAAGGCAACGTTGCCAAGAGGTGCAAATATTCCTAAAATTCACGGATTTCCTTAATAAAGTTATAGAAAACTGTCCAAACAACAATTTATCGATTTTTCTCGCTAAAATAGGACATCTCTAACATTCTGTCGGGAAATTTTTCGCTGAAAAATACCGAATGGACGCATTTAACGCGATTCCCCATCGATCTGCTGTCCGTTCATCGGTTTGACCTATCGGAAAAACAACACAACAAACTCCAATTTGGCGGCTTAATCAGGAAAAGTCAGACTTTTCTATCTATCTGGCGTTTGGGATTTTTTTCGTCGTTTTTGTTGTTGTTCCGCCGATGCTCGATGTCATTGAAACTAACGATGTAGCAAATTGAAAATAGTCAGTCGTATATATGCGAACGACCGGAACTGAAGTGGAAAAATTCGGAAAATAGACATTGTTTCTGTCCAGAAATTTATATAGGGTGATTCGCAGGGTAATAGTAGGTTATAGAAAAAAAAATCGAATATCACAAAGTATTAATTTTTGCCAAATATATTATAAGAATATATTGCTAGTGCGAACGAAAATACTGTTGACCCAAAAGGTTAGACTTATGCGAGATTGATATTCCTATTTCTTTTCTTTGGTTTCAGTTGGAGTTCTTTCCACTCATTGTGTAAATGCGGTACTAGCAATATATTCTTATAATATATTTGATTTTTGCTTTTAAAAGGTGTAATTAGTCCTTGTATTCTTTACTTTATTATTACTTCTTTTGTCACTGATTAATTGTTACCTGATTTGCCTCTGGTAGAACAATCGCTATCCGATCTGTGGTGACCTAGAAGCGATTCTCCGAGACCCTGTATCCGCTCCACGAAAGATTTCGGCTTCTCTGTCAGATTGCTCAGATCTGTCAAAGCGTTGACGTTTGGCGTCGAACCTAGAACAAAAAATAATGTCTCTTATAATGATACTATCCTGAAAAAACTAGAAATAAAATCCCTGTCAGTAACTAAAATATAGATGGTTTATAAAAATGTATAGAAACATTTAATATAGCCTGTCAATATTTTTGCTATACTTGTAGTATAAGACGGTCTTAGTTACCAAATTTCATAGTTCTAGGTCAACGGAAAATACACTTTAATACTTTTACCTTTTGAGGTACGGAACCCTAATTACTTCTGAAAGCCCAGAACCGTTAAAACCGTTTTGAAATCAGTACAATCTACAATCATTGTAGATACTACCAAAGCTATCATCGATAGTCTCGATAAAAGCCTACAATATTCTTTAATAGCTTTTATAAGTGGTTCGATAATATCTCAATCGCTTCTGGGCAATATTTCTGGAAAGTAAACGATGGGAAATGCATTTCCTCAAGGAACGCAGTAAAATATGGAAATTTTACGAAAATCGATTTGCTACAGAGAAATGCAACGATATATATGAGCGATTCTGTATAGAATGTCACCTTTTTGATGTTTTTTTTTGTTCAATCTATAACAAAAGTGTAGAAAATTTTAATTCAAGTTACAAGCAAGTCCCCAAAAAATATATATCATGGTAACCACATTTAAAAAAAATAAAGTATTTTCTTCTTCTTACGACTGAGAAAAATCAAATATTTTCCTTGATTTACCTTGCTACGGGGTGTTTAGCAGGACAATGTTTCCTCAATGAATACCTTAATAGATTCAAGCCATTTCAAGCTAAGACAGTTAAAACGTCTTGCCATGGAACAACAGCACAACACAGTTTCGAGGCGGTCACCCCTCCATCCACTCGCATCGTCTAAAGTTGCTTAACTTCGGTGATCTATGGGGAACGGATATTTCAACGTGGCTGGGCAGGTGTCCCTCAGGGTTCAGTACTTGGCCCTATTTTATTTCTGGTGTTTATCAACGACATTGCAAGTCTAGACATTAGCGGTAAAATCTGCCTCTTTGCGGACGACACTAGTTTCACTTGGAGCGGCCAAGATGTTACGGCACTATATAGTACTATATCCAGTGACTTACGCACCATTAAATCTTGGTGCGATTCTAATCTCCTATGCCTCAACCTTTCAAAAACTAAAGTTTTGTCATATAAAAGTACTACACAACCTTTTGTACTTAATAACACCACTATTGACGTCGTGGACTCTGTGAGATTCTTAGGACTTGTTGTAGACAACTCGTTAAAATGGGACTTGCACATCGAAGCCTTATCAAAGAAACTAAGCTCTGCCTGTTTTGCGCTAAGATCAGTTTCTAAGGAACTTAACTCATCAACCTCTAGAATGGTCTATTATGCCCTTTTGAGTCGCATCTTCGTTATGCCCTTCCATTCTGGGGTACTTGCTGCGCGACAAAATTTGATCGTATTTTCAAACTTCAAAAGAGAGCAGTTCGATACTTATTGGGACTAAAACAGTAGAACTCACTGCCAGAATTTCTTTAAAAATTTCAAAATACTGACTCTTCCTTCCTTATTCATTTTTGAATCCGTTTGCTTAATCCGCAAGCACATATGCTCTATTCCGGAGAGGCCTTCTCACAACTATCCACTTAGGAATGCGGAGCACGATATTTATCTGCCAACCCCGAGCTCAGAACTAGTTAAGGGCTCAATACTGTACAATGCCAAGAAAATGTACAATCATTTGCCTTCGAATATCAAGTCACTTTCATTCTTTCCCGCATTTCGCAAAGCTCTGAAATCATACATACTGGAGAGAGCCCCATATGCGGTAAACGACTTTTTTGTTGATGTTTAATCATGAACAATTTTGAATTTTACAATTTTGATAATCTCACACACTGGTTAAAGGTCTAGTATTTAATATTTAATATTTTATAACTCTTGATTTTATAATATATAACATTAGTTTATCCATTTACAGTTTTCCTTTTGTAAAATTTTCTAGACACGCCTGTGTTCTGCAATGTCCATATATGTTTTATTTGTAATTTTATGACGTAATTTTTTTTTTGAATTGATTTGTATTGTATGACATTTTTATTTGTTTATTTGTATATTTGTTTTTGTGCTTTTTTGTTTTGCTTTGTCGATGAAGCTGTTTTGGCTTTTTGTACAATAAAGCGTTTGTTTGTTTTGTTTTTGTTTTGGTACCCAAACATACACAAGTTTGATAGTACAGAGGACATTAAAAATCACAGTTATTAGGGAATGACCCGTATTGGTATTGGATCCTGGGAAAGCCGCTTTTCCATTTGAGCCGCAGGGCGGTAAATTTTCATTGTAACGACCGTTTTCTCGAATTTTCCCAAAGTTATTGGCGCGATTTAGGGTCGTTCGTAAATACTATACTGAATCTAATTGAATGGATGGATCGTTCCGTAGATATTAAAATCGGTAGATAGAAGGTTTATGGACTTGCAGATTGCAGATTGCAGGGGAGGAGGGAAATTAATCACCGCGACTCCAACTTCGATATCAGTCGTTCTAAAGTTTATAAATAAATGCCTTTATTGTCAAATAATTTTACAATTTGTAGACAAAGGTAAAATAAACAAACAAAGTAAACAAACACAAGAGAATACAAAACATTTTACAAATAACATTGTCAGTCTTATGGTTTAAAATAAACATTTATAAATGTTTAAAATGTCAAAAAATAAAAAAAATAAAAATAAGATCCAAAAATAATTTAGTAAGTTTATAGTAAATATCAATGACCTCTAGATAAATTTATTTCGATGTCATTGGTAAATATAGTAATAGCAAACATTAGACCAGTGTTTACAAGATCAAATTCGATTATCAAAATATAAGTCATTTACGGCGTAGAAAGCCTTGTCTAGTAAATAAGATTTCAATGCTTTGCGAAATGAAGAAAATGATGTTATGGATTTGATTTCAAATGGCAGGTGATTGTGCATTTTTTTCGAGTTGTATAATATTGAACTTTTAACTAACTCTGAGCGTGGGGTAGGTAGATAAAGATCTTGCTCCGCGTTCCTGAGTGGATAAGTGTGAGATGGCCTTTCTTGAGAAGCTGATACATGCTTACGTATTAGGCAAACGGATTCAAATATAAATAAGGAAGGAAGAGTTAATATTATTAATTTTTTAAAAAAGTCCTGGCAACGAGTTCTGCTGTTTAGTCCCAGTGAATATCGAACAGCTCTCTTCTGGAGCTTGAAAATGCGGTCAAATTGAGTCGCACAACACGTACTCCAATCTTTGATTTTTCTCGGTCGTAAGTCCTGAGAAGTTTCAAATGTCTTAGAACGTTGTTTAAATTAGTTTCCACTTGGGAAGCAGAACAACCGAGAGCAAAATAGAATAGGAATATGTAATCGCAAATGGGGTGTAATGCTAGTTCGCCTCCTCGTGGTACACCCTGGATAGCGTCTAATTATAGACGCAAACTAAACGAACTAGCACAACTGGCGACCAAACAATCCTATCTGGATCTCTTGGTCAATTCAATCACTATGGTACAAACACATGGAAAAATGCCTAGTCCTTATGAGGACTATGTGGCTAAAAAACTTGGACCTAGCATCCGAGTCTGCCAGTTGAATGTGGAGGAGATTAGTCGAGCAAAATGACACAATGACCCTTCACAAGATTTTAATTGACTACGATGTCGACGTATTGGCAATCCAGGAAACTCACATGGAAACTGAGGATGAACTCCGTTCAAGAGCAAGGATTCCTGGGTATGAGGTTATAGGAGCCACTTATAATAGATCTTATGGTACTGCCACTTACATTCGGAACACAATTGAAAATGCAACTCTGAAGCGTGCTTCTACAAGTAACAATATCCATGAAATTACCATTCAAGTTGGCGAGATCACAGTGTGCAATATTTATAAACCTCCCACTGCCCCATGGCCACAGCATGTCATCCAGCCTTTCCTTCACCCAGCTGTATACATAGGAGATTTCAACAGCCACCACACCAAATGGAAATACAGGGAAAATGATTTGAATGGCGAAAGCCTCATGGACTGGTCAGACGAGCACAACCTATACCTCGTATTTAACGCTAAAGATCCCGGTACTTTTAAGTCTGCAGCATGGAGACAGGATTATAACCCAGATTTGTGTTTCGTTTCTTCAGACAGCAATGAACATCCGCTTCCAACTACACGAACTGTCCTGGATGATTTTCCACATAGCCAACATCGCCCTGTGTTAATAGAAATTGGGTTGAGTATCCCTTTACTAAAATCTTTTCCCCGCTCGAGATGGAACTTCAATAAAGCAAATTGGGAAACATTCTCCAATAATCTCGACAAATGCTTAGGTTGGATCCCCCCTCTAGGGAGAAATTATGAAATGTTTGCTGGTGCTATCATTAGCACCGCCAAGAAAACCATACCTAGGGGTTATAGAAAGGAGTACATCCCAGGATGGGGCGAGACTAGCGAAAGGCTATACAGGGAGTTTCTAGAATCAGGTGACCGCGAAATAGCTGACAAACTTCTGCACGGTTTAAACACTGCGAGACGCCAGAAGTGGACGGAAACTGTTGAAAATTTAGATTTTACAAAATCCAACAGAAAAGCTTGGGCATTATTACGAAAACTGGGTGGAGATAATCAAAGAACAAGAGTGGACACTCCTGTGACTCCAAACGAAAGCGCTTCTAATATTGTTAATACCTCAAGAGCACCACGGGACCGTGCACACACAATCGAAATCAAGCGACAATTAAAACAACTTAAATCATCCTGTGCTGAGGAGACAACATACTCCCAGCCTTTTACCTTCGAAGAAGTATTAGCTGCATTACAACATATTAAGGCTGGCAAAGCTCCGGGATTTGACGGCATCCATTCGGAATTCCTTCTGAATTGTGGTGAATTTACAAAGCGATGGTTGATGCACTTTTTCACCGACATAATTAAAACAGGCACTATTCCACAGTCACTAAAAATCTCTAAAATCATTGCCATCTTAAAGCCTGGTAAGCCTAAC